TTTTTTGGATTTTTATATTTCTGCCCAGTCAAATGTTTGATAAAAATCCACCCTTAAGAAAAGCAGAGAGAATTATGAATAGTTGAATTATAAAATCATAAAAAAAAAAAAAAAAAAAGTGAACAGGGAGAGAGAGAGAATGAACAGGAAGTGAAGGGAAGAGAAATGAACAATTGACAAAAAGATATTTTATTCTTTTAAATTAAACAGCAAGAAATGAAAATGTTGATGGAATGATGAAATAGTTGGACGAAATTAGTATATGAGGATAAAGTAATTAATTTTGGCATAATATAAAGATAAGTTTATTAATACGAGATAAAATTAGCATTGACTTTGTAGCAAAATTAAATGGAGAGTTTTTTGCCCCCTGTTGTGTAGTCCACGATATTATTTCGGTCCATTGGGCCTTCTATGTATCAAAAAAAAAAAAAAAAAAAAAAAAAAAATAGAGTTTCTAATTTAAAAAGGTCAATTTAGGTATTTTACTATATATTTTTAGAAAATCAATGTGTTCTAATCATTTTCTTAATTCTTTTGAAAAAATGAAATATTGCTATTAAAGTGGAAGGAGAGACTATATAAAAGTGGAAATAAGAAGAGAAATATTGGGATTGATAAAAATATTCATACTAAATTTATGGATTGACAAAAGTATCTTTAAAGCTTTTGATTTCATTAATTGAAAAAAAATAAAAGTAATTTAATTTGATTGGTTACACTGATTTTTTATTTAAATTTAAATTTTATTGTCTAATAAATAAAATAAAGCGTACAAAATAATTATAAATTTAATAAAATAGAAAATTTAAATTTAATAGTGTACAATTAAAAATTTTTATTATGTCCTATTGTAGAAGTTATATATATTATATATATTTAATATATTTATATATATGAATTTTTGTAGTAAAATTAAATGGAGAGTTTTCTACTATGCTTTGTATCCAAAAGATGGAGAGTTTTTAATTTAAGAAGGCCAATTTAGGTATTCTACTATGTATTTTTAGAAAATCAATGCGTTCTAATCATTTTCTTAATTGTTTTAAAAAGATGAAATATTGCTATTAAAGTAGAATAAATGGAGTATATAAAAGTGGAAATAGAAGAGAAATATTGAAATTGATAAAAATATTCATACTAATTTTATTTAATATTTATATTATTATATGTTATCAATGTTGTTTGTTATGAATTGTAATTTAACCTTTACTTTTATAACTTTATTATATTTTATTAATTATTATATTAAATTTATTTTTGAAAAAAATTAAAATAATAATGAAGATCATTCTTGATAAATAATAAAAATTTATTAAATTAATAATGAGTACTTATAATAAGAAGTAACCACATGCACCACACATTTTTAAATACTAGTCATACTTAAAATATATGTTTAGAAGAAAATTTATAATTTACCTTACATTTCATTATTCATAAAAATAAAGGAAACATAGTTTAAATGTTTATTCTAAAAAAAAAAAATGGCAATATTTAAAAATTTATAAGTTTATTTTCTTACATTTTCATTTTCATAAGAGTAATACACTCCCTCGGGAATTGTGAAAACATAATATACCAATCCTACTCGAAACTCCAAAACTTTATATAAGTAGGAATATTTCGTCAACAAGAAAAGTAATTAACAAATAGTAGGATATCAATTTCGTTACATAGTAAACACCAAAGCTCTGTCGCCAATATGGATTATACTATAAATCCTGCATATTCCCAACAAAACTTATGATGTAGATACCACAAAGCTCAAATAGAATATATCCATGGTCGATAGAAGCCACTATTGTGAATCCGTTGAATTTATGGGGCCATTTGTGATGAAGGTATTGTTGCATAACAAAGCTTTCTCCCCGGCAGTGGCATCCACAGAGGAAAGGATTTCCCTCATAGCTGCTTTCATTCAAATGTTCAAATTGTGCACTCTTGAGGTGTTCCCCTTACCGAGATAAGTATTGTGTGCTACACTGAAAATTTTCTAATATTGTGTGCTACACTGAAAACTTCTAAAGAATATAATTGAGTAATTTGAGAAGGAATTTCCCTTCCAAATTGTTGTAAGAAAGATCTAAGCTCTCAATTTGCCTCAAATTTGAAAATGTTTGTAGAATTGATCCGGTCAAACTATTGTGTGATAGATTCAACATTTGAATTGTATCAAGATCTCCAATTTCAAATGGAATCTCTCCAGAAAAATTATTACAAGAAAGATCAATCCCCGAGAAATATCGGAGTGTGCTTGGTTGATAAGAATAGAATCCATTCTTGTTTGTAAACTCCAAAGGTTGTGCAAAAGTGTGAGTCAGGAGCGAGACTCCATAGGGAAAGACAGCGGTAGGCATTTGCAATTGGAAATTTCATGTTTTGTTTAGACCAGATCACTTAAGTTCTCAGACAAGGGGAGAATTAGGACCAGAAAGATTATTATGAGAGAGACCAGAAAGATTATTATGAGAGAGATCAATGAAGCTTAAGTTATACAAGTTGCATAATTGAGTTGGAATTCCACCCTCCAAATGATTACTACTTAACTGAATGTACCTCAATTTAGAATTGTTGGCAATCCTCATTGGAATTTTTCCTATTAAGTTATTGTGGCTAAGATCTAACTGAAGAGTTACCATTAAATACATCACTCAAAGATCCTTGCAAAGTGTTCTTTGAAAGTTTGAGTTGAAATAATGAGATACAACCTACGATCAATTGCTCAGGTATACTTCCTGACAATCTATTGTCAGATAAGTCCAAACTTTCCAAAAAGCTCATATTTCCAAATGAAGGGGAAAAAGCTCATCATTTTCCAAATGAAGGGGGAATATTCCCATTCAAACCATTTCCCTTCAGGCTTTTAAATATCTCTAATTTCTTGACAAATTGTGTCCCAATTTTTTTTGGGATGGACCATCCCGACTTATGTGGATCCGGATAATATCCAACGAATTGACAAATTCGGAGGAGATTATGAATAGGTAATCTTGGAATACAATGGACCCTCAAAAGAGAATTGTTGGAAAAGAGAATTGTTGGCCAAATTAAGTACCATTAGATTTGTGTTGTTGCCTAATAACCAGAATGGAAACTCTCCTCTTATTTTATTGTTTGATAGATCAACATATCCCAGATTATACTGATGATAGAGGAACTTGGGAATTTCTCCACTACCATATCCATGGCCAGACAAGTGGAGAATCTCTAACTGAAACTTTGGAGTGAAATTATGAGCCTCTGTTATGGCATATATGGTGTTGTTTTGACAATCCAAAAAATTGAGATTTGAATGGTTGAAAAATAGAGAGAGTGAGATTGGGATATGGAAGAGATTATCAGAGAGATTTAGATATTCAAGGGATGTTAATCTCCTAAGAGGAGATGAAGCAATGTCTCCAATAAAGTTATTATAAGAGAGAGAGAATCTTTTGAGGGATGTCAAATTTGCTAGACACCATGGCAAACTACCATTGAGATAATTGTCACTTATATCTAGCTCTTGCAGAAACTTCAATTTTCAAAGACCTGAATATTTGAAATTTTGTAACAAAAAAGAAAAAAAAAAACCTTTGGTTAGTTACAATTCTAATTTATTTGAAAGAGATGATACAAGGGAGAGCCGGAGAGAATGTTGAACATACCTTGATCAGTAGGTATGGGTCCAGTAAGTCCACAACCAGCTAATAATAAAGTTTTGAGATGCCTCATCATTCCAATGTCTTGTAGACCAAAGCTATTGTTGATAGCAGAATAACTCAAGTCCAAATGCTTCAAATTTTTTGAAATTAAGTAAACCTATAAAAATTCAAAAAGGAGTGTGTGAAAATATATTGGAATTTTTTTTTTAATCTTATATTTTAAGCAATTAATAGAAGGCTTTGAAGGAAGTTTTCATCCACAATAGTACAGCTGTTCCAAATTAGTGAAATTATAGGACCCTATTGATTCAAATGAAACACCAAATGAATATTTAATAAGCATTGAGAAACAAATTACTTTCACTAAGAAAGTAAAACTAGAATTACATAAATTTTAAATTAAATTACTTCATAAAGAGAGGAAAATAACCTTTTAAATTATATACAGCTTTTTGAGAGATGAAAGCCCTTTTAGGAATGATAGAGTAAATAATAGAAAGTTGTTAATTAAGAGATCAAAACTGTTAGATATTAGTAAATAAGAAAACAAAAATATATTGTACCATGGTAAGAATTGAAGCCTTTGATTTCATTGAACTAAGGAAAGTTGTTAATTAAGAGATTCAAGAAAATAGAAAGTTGTTAATTAAGAGATCAAAACTGTTAGATATTAGTAAATAAGAAAACAAAAATATATTGTACCATGGTAAGAATTGAAGCCTTTGATTTCATTGCCACCCATATGCAATTCTATCAAATTATTTAATTCTGCATATCTCAACACACGTCAGTTTACAAATGACATTCATATATATCGTTAACAGTTTGAGACGAAAAGAAAAAGTTAGCCCTTCAAATTAATAATTAAAACCTTGGATTCTGCTGCCTCTTGTTAATAGTTTGAGGCAAAATGGAAAAAACGAAAAAAAAAAAAAAAAAAAAAAAAAGTCTGAGATGGTTTCACTGCATATTTTACATGTATATTTCCTTCCAATCTATTTTTCGAATACGGATAACGATTCACTAAGATATTTCAAAGAGAGCAGACCCCACGATGATAAATCTTATTGTTTAAATCGATTAATCTCCCAAATCTCTCTCTCCTATAACTTCTCAAACTCTCTCGCATTGTTGATAACCTTTTCAAAACCATTGCATATATGGAAAGGAGCATTTTTTAAAATGTACAAAATGTACATAAATTTAATTATTTTGAATCATAATTAATGATAAATATATTGAGATAAAAGGACCTTCATTCTTAACGCAGCCAGCTATACCATTTACACGTAAATAAAGATGCTTCAATTTTTGGAATGGAAGAAACAAAGAGGCATTTAAGTAAAAATCATTCTGTGGAGACCCATCCCTCAGGTTTGAAAGGTCGAGTTTTGTAACTCGACCAGTAATTTCATCGCACTCAATGCCTTCCCAATTACAACAGGCAACACTATCTATACTCCAAAAATAATGAAGAAAAGAAGAATTGAAGGAAGACTGTATTTGCAAGAGTGCAACTCTTTCTTCCTCTAAACAGCCATCACAACTCTCTTTTAAGAAGAATAAAATCACTAATATCCAACAATACCTCTTAATTATATCCGAAGAATAAAATCACTAATATCCAACAATACCTCTTAATTATATCCATTTTTAATACTTATCTTCAACTCGCTCTAGCTTGTTATATATATAGAGAGGAGTAGCAAAATGGTCCATGACGTGAAAAAAGTGTTGCAAAGTAAATGCATGTTGGAGAGTCCTTCAGCGAAGTTTCCTCCATCCATCCAATTACATTTTTATATTTTAATTAAAAAAATTACAAAAAGTTAAATTAACCATTCTATAAAAACTCTTTTTTTGAATATTTTTGACCCCTAAAATTTAAACATTCTAATTTTTTTATATACTTTATAAATTGAAAAAAAGTTAAAATTTGAGAAATCAATGAGAGGCCTCCATTTTTAAATTCTATTCTCTCTCGTTACTTCTTGATTATTTTTTTTTTTTAGAAAAAAATATTTCCTCCTATCACTCCTTAACATAAACATAAATGAACTTTTCTTTGAATTGTCTAACAGAAGATAACAAAGAATTACCTTATCCATATTACATATAACAAAGGCAAGTGAAGTAGTGCCAATAAGTTTATATCTTTGAGGAATATTCATCCATTGCGACCAATTCCAATCAAAACCCAGTTTTGTAGACCTCGATTGAGTCTCAGTATCTGTATCCAATCCATCCACTCGCAATCCAGTAAGAACTTCGGGCACCCTGTCGCTTTCTTTAACATTCTCCTCTATGGATGAATGGTTCAACACTCTTCTCTTTTAATTGAGATACCAATAAAAAAATCGATTTAAATAATAAAAGAGATTAAACTTCATTTCTTTTGGTTAATTAAAAACTAAAAAAGAATTGAAGTTCAAGTATTTTTTTTAAGGTAACATATATTTAGTTGAGGGCTTTGAAATTGTGCTTTGATGGAAAAAAAAGAACAGAATTTTAATAGAGTTGTGACTGTTAAGCCAGCTGTCAAAAGATAAGAGTTTGTTATACTTTGAATTTGTATTTGTATTTCCTAAATTAATGCTTAGCCCTGATCTGTTGTAACCACTTGTATTATAAGAATAGCCTACAGTATCAATACGAATAACAACTCCTCTTCATCAATTCTGTATTGTAGATGGTATCAGAGCATTAAAAACTCTTCTTAGTTTTTTTTCCGATCCTTTTCTCTTCTTCTTTCGAAAAGTTCTCTTTCGCTTTTACACTTTGAATTGTTGTGGCCTCCACGTCCAACACAGTTCATTCCTCTGGGAAAACCTTGATTACTATGAATGGATCACAGTTTCCTCTCAAACTTTCTTCTACAAACTATCCAACATGGAGGGCTCAAATCTTGCCCGTTCTTCGTGGTCATAACCTTCTGGGTTATGTTAATCGCACTTTTCCTTCCTCCTGCTACAATTATGCTACAATTTTAAGGACCAGGTGATTAATGGAAAGTTGTCATCCAGATTATTGTGCTTTTTTGGGCTTTGCTCCTTATAGGCTCACTCGGGGTTCGTCTCAGCTCACACAGACTTTGATTGCATTCTACAAGTTTTTCAAGCCCATGAATACTGTCTGCAGAGCTGAAACTTCGCGGATGGCATGAGAGAAGGTAACCGCATTCGTATTCATAGCACCTCTTCAGAATACATCCCACTTTCCGCTAACAAATCGCTGCCACTCCTCGTACTATCCTATTTTGCGGTGAACGGGTTGTCTATGCCGAAAAGAGACAACCCATTCAGAATACTTACCGGATGGTCAAAAGGTTATTGCCTAAATGATCTTTCCTTGCTGTGGCAGTCCTATTTCAGTCCTATTTCAGATGTCGATTTGGTTATTCATGTCCTTGATGGAGTTGGTGCTGAGTTTCGAGATATTGCTGCTGCTGTGCGTGTTCGAGATACGATGATTTCTTTTGATGAACTTTAAGATAAGTTGCTGGCTTATGAGGTTTATCTGAAGAAAATTGATTCGAGTTATGAGTCCATTCCGATTACAGCAAATCAGGTTCGCCGAGGGTATAACTCAATCATAAAAAATATATACATAGAGTACAAGAAAGGAAAGCCAATAGAGTAGAAGAGTAGTTATTTTTCACTAATTAAAGACAAAAGTGATAATTGACAAATATAGCAAATGAAATGCATGAAGGCTTCCTTTAACAATCCTTTGCAACTGGTGCTGCTTTGTGATGACTGGAGAAGAAATCATACCTGCATTATGAATTTAATAATTTATAAATAAATAAAATGACTTAGTCATATAAATAAAAATATTAAAAAAATGCAACTTACTCTATTTTACGTGCCAATTGGTACATGGAAGTTGCAGCCATCACAATGCTCACACTGAAAAGATTCCAATTTTTCTGCACTTTCAGAATGGTTCAAATACATGTGTGGTCAATAAATAAATAACAATAATTTAAGGCCAAATGTATAAATTCACATTTTTATTTTATGTAAAAATTTTGTAGCACTCTTAATTTTATAAAAACATATTTATATCTTTAAAGTTATGAATTTTAATAACATCGCACACTTCTTCGTACTAATAATAATAGTTTTTGGTACTTTTAGTTTCTATATATAAAATATTGATTTAATATGTGATTACATAATTATTAAAATAATAAATTTCACGTTTGGTATATTCTTTTTTTCTATAAAAATTAAATTTAATGATAAGTTATCCCTAATCGTGGTGCTTTAATATGCGGAAAATTATAATATTGTCCCTATATTTTGTCAAAATTAATTACTTTTCCCTCTGTTTTTTTTAGTACACTACTTTATCCCTATATTTTTTAATACACTTCCTTCCATCAAAAAATTTAACTTTTTCCTTTAAGTTTGCATTTTCTACGAAATTTAAATAAATTAAAAAATAAACTAAAAGAACATGTAACTAGACATCTTCTCCGGTTAAAAGAAAATTTTGTGATTATAAAAAAAAGTTTTAAAACTATATTTAAAAATAAATCCAAACAGAATTTGGTTTTCTGCAACTCTTCCAATAAAACATTTTACATTTACTCTATTTCTTTGTTTACTCATTTTCCTATTTTAAATCAAATTGACGTTTATTCATACAAAATGTAATAGCAAGTGACTTTAAGTTTGCATTTTCTACGAAATTTAAATTGAACATTAAAAATAAAGCCACTACAATTCCAAACATGTAACTAGACATCCCTTCCTCCGGTTAAAAGAAAATTTTGTGATTATAAAACAAAGTTTTACTAACAATATATTTAAAAAGTAAAATCAACAGAGCATTTTCGCGTCCCTTACCCTCGCACACTACGTCTTCCAATAAAAACATTTTACATTTTACTCCTATTGTCTTTGTCTTTTACTCATACTTTCTCCGGGTATTTTAAATCCAAATTGATCATTTTATTTTCATACAATAATGTTCAATAGCACAGTGATATGATTCCTTCTAATGTTCTTCCCCTTCAATCAGAGATCACACAACACAAACCCACAAAATTTAAAAGAGGGGATGTTTGGATTTTTATACATTTTCTTCCATCAAGTGTTTGATTAAAATAATTTTATTGAAAAGTTAAGAGAGAATTATAAGTGCTAAAGAGTGGTATTTAGAATTATAAAATCTACTTACTTAAAGGAACAAAAAAAAAAAAAAAAAAAAAAAGTAAACAGAGAGAGGGAGAGAGAATGAACAGGAAGTGAAGGGAAGAGAAATGAACGATTGAGAAAAAGATAATTCTTTTAAATTAAACAGCACGAAATGACAATATTGATGGAATCGCTAAATAGTGTATTTTAAAAAATAGGAGGACAAAGTAATTAATTTTGACATAATATAAAGATAAGTTTATTATTTTCCCTTTAATACGAGATAAAATTAGAATTGACTTTGTAGTAAAATTAAATGGAGAGTTTTCTACTATGCTTTGTATCCAAAAGATGGAGAGTTTTTAATTTAAGAAGGCCAATTTAGGTATAATTTACAGTTACAGGCCGGAGTGTGTGAGGTATCCTTACTAAATAGCAAATCAATGCAAGTTGCTATATCATTTCTCGTTTAATTGTATAAAGATGAAATGCTTATTAAAGTAGAATAAAGGGAGTATTAAAAGTGCAGAAAATCGGGGAGCAGAACTCTCATCTGATAATTGATAAAATATATAATACTAATTTACTCTTCAATATTGTATCTCGCTCCTAAGTCTATTAGTATCAATGTCTCGCTCTCTCGGTTGAATGAATTTAATTTAACTTTACTTTTATTACTTTTATATATTTTATTTAATTATTATATTAAATGTTATTTTTGAAAAGAGAGAGTGTAATAATTCATACATGAAGATCATTCTATGATATTAATAACCACCAATTGATTAAATTAAATATAATAGAAGTACGTAACATTATCATAAGATATAGAGTAACCACATTCACCACACATTTTTAAATACTAGTTCGACTCACCTTTAGATAAGGTAATAGCTGTTTAGAAAGAAATTTATAATTCTTAGTGGTACATTTCATATTTTCATTAAGAGTTAAACACTATGAATTATGAACCATAGACAAGTGTAGAAATACATTAACCTAGTACCAATCCTTATGAATACATCCCAAACTTAAATAAGTAAGATATTGTCAACAAAGAACAGTAAGCATTTACCAAATTTTGGTGGATAATCAACGTAGTACCATAAGTAAAACCATGGCTTGTGGGCCAATATGGACGTGGTTAATTGATATAAAACTGACGGCGAATTAATTCCCAATACCAAAACAATGATGTAAGATACCACAAAGCTCACCACATAGAAAATAATCCATGTCGATGAACCCACTATTGTCCATCAATTTGGGCATATTCTCCTGGGCATTGGTGCCACTTGAAGGTAATTGTTGATAACAGCTATCTTTCTGGCAGTGGCAATCCACAGAGGGAAGATTGTCCCTCATAAGCCACAGAGGAAAGGATTTCCCTCATAGCTGCCTTCATCAAATGTTCCAAATTGTGCAACTCTTGTAGGTGTCTTACCAGATAAGTTATTGTGTGCTACACTGAAAACTTCTAAAGAATATAATTGAGTAATTTGAGAAGGAATTTTCCCCTCCAAATTGTTGTGAGAAAGATCTAAGCTCTCGATTTGCCTCAAATTTGAAAATGTTTGTGGAATTGATCCAGTCAAACTATTGTGTGATAGATTTAACATTTGAATTGTATCAAGATCTCCAATTTCAAATGGAATCTCTCCAGAAAAATTATTACAAGAAAGATCATCAAATGGAATCTCTCCAGAAAAATATTATTACAAGAAAGAATTCAATCCCGAGAAGTATTGAGCGTGGTGCTTGGTTGATAAGAATAAAAATCCATTCTTTTTTTAAAACTCCAATGGTTGTGATGTAAGGAGCAGGAGGCCATAGGGGAGCATTGAAACCATAGGGGAAAAGTATTATTTTTCAATTGGAATTCATCTTCTTATAGACCAAGCACTACTAAGTTCTTCAAACAAGGGAGATATGACCAGAAAGATTTACTTATCTTGAGAGAGAATACAATCAAGCGTTAAGCTTTATTCAGGTGCTTAAGTTGAGTTGGGAATTCCACCCTCCAAATGATTACTACTGAATTTGATATTGTACGCTCAATAATACAAGAAATTGTTGGCAATCCCCATTGGAATTTTCCTATTAGTTTATTGTGGCTAAGATCTAACATAACTAATGAAGAGTCACCATTAAATTAATCACTTCAAAAGATCCTTGCAGTTTAGTTTTTGACAAGACTGAATTTCTTTTATTTCTCGAAGGGCAAAAATGGATGGTAAGCTTCCGAAAATATTGTTTTAGTGAAAGATCTTACACAATTTCAAGAGAAAGACAGTATTTGCCGCATCCATTTAGGATGCTCTCCTAGAGAGAATTGGTTACTCACTGACATTCCAATATATTCAATTGAAGTTGCATTAAACAAAAACTATTTAGCGTATATTTTCCATTGAACAGATTGCCATCTTAATTGTATTTACCAATTAAGATATTCCCCAAGAATTTAACAGTTTTTTGGAAAATATCTGTCTTGCAAGTGTTCTTTTGAAAGTTTGAGTTTGAAATACATGAGATACAACCTACGTTCAATTTGCTTCAGGTATACTTCCTGACAAATCTATTTAGTCAGATCAAGCTACCAAACTTTTTCCAACAAAGCTCCTAGTTCCATACATGAGAGGGAAATCCCATGGTCAATACCATTAAACTTTCCAAAAAGCTCATATTTCCAAATGAAGGGGGAATATTCCCATTCAAACCATTTCCCTTCAGGTTTAATATCTCTAATCTTGACAAATGTGTCCCAATTTTTTTTGGGATGGATCCATACAGACTATTTTCAGAAATATCCAAGAATGACAAATTCGGAGGAGAATGAATAGGTAACTGGAATGGCCCTAAAAGAGAATTGTTGGCCAAATGAATTACCCTTAGTTTTGTGTTGTTGCCTAATAACCAGAATGGAAACTCTCCTCTTATGTTATTGTTTGATAGATCAACATATTGTAGATTATACTGATGATAGAGGAAATTGGGAATTTCTACACTACCATATCCATGGCCAGACAAGTGGAGAGTCTCTAACTGAAACTTTGGAGTGAAATTATGAGCCTCTGTTATGGCATATATGGTGTTATTTTGACAATCCAAAAAATTGAGATTTGAATGGTTAAAAAATAGAGAGAGTGAGATTGGGATTTGGAAGAGATTATCAGAGAGATCTAGATATTCAAGGGATGTTAATCTCCTAAGAGGAGATGAAGCAATGTCTCCAATAAAGTTATTACTAGAGAGAGAGAATATTTTGAGGGATGTCAAATTTGCTAGACACCATGGCAAACTACCATTGAGATAATTGCCACTTATATCTAGCTCTTGCAGAAACTTCAATTTGCAAAGACCTGAATATTTGAAATTTCGCAACGAAAAAGAAAAAAAAAAAAAAATTCTGCAAACGAAAAGAAAAAAAAAAAAAAATAAACCTTTGCCAGTTGCGATTCAAGTTATACAATTCTAATTTATGTAATTAGATGATACAAGGCGGAGATTACCAGAGAAGATTGTATGAACATACCGTAAGGCCAGTAGGTTATGGTCCAGTTAAGTCCACAATCCCAAACGTTAATGATAAAGTTTTAAGTGCACTCAATCATCTCCACGCATGCCTTGATAGACCATAGCTCATTGTTTGACAGCAGAATCATAACTTCAAAGTCCAAATACTCCAAATTATTTGAAATTAAGTAAACCTATAAAATTTACAAAAAGCGGCTCGTGTGAGAGGAATATATTGTAAGAAATTTTTTGGATTTAATTATTCAAATTTTTGTGTTGCATAGAGTAATTACCCCCAGTAGGTACAGATAACAAATATAACAGCCCTGCTTAAAGACACACCCACGACTGTGAAAGAAGCCTATCTAAGGCTCCCTAGAAGGAAGTTTTTCATCCACATAATAGAATTAATCCAGGTTGCAGCTCTTTCCAAATTAGTGAAATTTATAGGGACCCTATTGATTCAATGAAACACAAATTTAAATTTCTCCTCCAAAATTTGAACAATTACTTTCAGGCTTAGATATAGAGATTTAAGTACACTAAGTGACTTAAAACTAATTTATAAACAAAACACTTATTGAGGATAATAGACAACCAAGTTGTCTTTGAGATAAGAGATTCAACAACGTGTAGATAGAAAGTTGTTAATTAAGAGATCAAAACTGTTAGATATTAGTAAATAAGAAAACAAAAATATATTGTACCATGGTAAGAATTGAAGCCTTTGATTTCATTGTAACTTATATCCAATTCTATCAAATTATTTAATTCTGCACATCTCAACACACGTCAGTGTACATATATATTGTTAATAGTTTGAGACGAAATGAAAAAGTTAGTCCTTCAAATTAATAATTAAAGCCTTCGATTCTGCTGCCTCTTGTTAATAGTTTGAGGCAAAATGGAAAAAATGAAAAAAAAAAAAAAAGAAGTGAAGTTGGCACCTGGCATATTAATTATTCCTTCCAATCTATTGTCAACTAGATATAAGTATTTCAAAGATGAAAGACCACCCAGCGATGATAAGATACTATTGTTAAATTGATTATCTGCCAAATCAAGAAGTTCCAAATTGGAAAGTGTTGATAACCTTTCAAAACCTGCATATATGAAAGAGCATTTTTAAAATGTACATAAATTTAATTATTTTGAATCATAATTAATGATAAATATATGGAGATAAAAGGACCTTCATTCTTAACGCAGCCAGCCATACTATTTCCACGTAAATAAAGATACTTCAATTGTTGGAATGGAAGAAACAAAGAGGCATTTAGGTAAAAATCATTCAGTGAAGACCAACCCCTCTGGAATGAAAGGTTGAGTTTTGTAACTCGACTAGTAATTTCACCGCACTCAATGCCTCCCCAATTACAACAGGCAACACTATCTATGCTCCAAGAATAATCAAAAAAAGAAGAATTGAAGGAAGACTTTATTTGCAAGAGTGCAACTCTTTCTTCCTCTTTATTTGCAAGAGTGCAATTTCTTTCTTCCTTCTATTATAAGCACCCATCACAACTCTCTTTTTATTAAGGCACAAAGCAATCCACAAATCACCAATATCCAACAATACTCTTAACTAAAATAGTATCCATTTTAATACTTCAAAAAATCTCATTACATCCGCTCTAGGCTTTGCTTTACTATCAGAGAGAAGTATTACAAATCGCCTCCATTGACGTGATTCCACAAAAGTTATGTGCAAAGGTTAAATGCGATGTTAAATGCATGTTGGAGAATCCTTCAGCGAAGTTTCCTCCATCCATCCAATTACATTTTTATATTTTATTTAAAAAAATTACAAAAAGTTAAACTAACCATTCTATAAAACTCTTTTTTTTGAATATTTTTGACTCCTAAAATTTAACCATTCTAATTTTTTTAGATACTTTATAAATTAAAAAAAAAATTAAAATTTGAAAAATCAATGAGAGGCCTCCAATTCAAAATTCTATTCTCTCGTTCTTGATTTTTTTTTTTTAGAAAAAAATATTTCCTCTCAAAATTCAAGCTAAGGCAACCCTTATATTGCAAAAACTTTTATATTAGAACCATAAAATTACATAATTTAACATTCGTTATAAAGATAATCGTTTGCAGAAAAGTTCTTCCAAAATGTGTCACATCAACCATTTACTATAAGTTATGGTGTATTGTTTATTTGTAGAGGAGACTTAAAAATAAAGTTGATTTAAATAATAACCAATAAGTGTATGAATGAATGGTTCAACACTCTTCTTTTTTAAGTGAGATACCAATAAAAAAATCGATTTAAATAATAAAAGAGATTAAACTTCATTTCTTTTGGTTAATTAAAAACTAAAAAAGAATTGAATTTCAAGTATTTGTGTGATAACAAATATTTTGATAAAACTCTACTAGAAGTAGCATTATCAAACTACACATACAATATTATGGTTTATTACATAATTACATGTATATGCTAATGTCAATCTTGTATTTATAATGTTGTTTATAAGTTAAATTATTATGTATGAAGTCAACAAATATGAAGTATCATACATAAACTTTTATTATAAAATGTCAAATTTTCTATTCTAGTGCTTGTTGAAATTTCTAATATTTATTTAGAAGTGCTTTGATAGGTGTTATTTTTATAATATTTTTAATATGGTTTTTATTAGGATTTGTAGTATTTTTAATTACTTTAATTAATTTTTATTTATGTTTTTGGTTTTTGTTCAAAGTTTCCTTGAAACATAATTTGCTTGATCTTAAGGAAATTTTGTAGGATTTTGGCACAGAAAAGAGGAAAATAAGGCAAAACACTCATGCTCTAGCACGCCCGTGCTAAAAATCAGTTGTTGTTTGAGTCAAAAATGCCAGCCAGTCCCTACCACTTGCATGGGCCCACCTGAGATATTTTCCTGATGTGCAAATCAAGTTCTAATCCTATTCAAGCACATGAGAGAGTCCTAATTGAGAAGAAATCGAAACCCTAAACAGTTTCCTATTTCCAAAAGATTTCTTACTTAATGAAGATGCTATTTCCTAAACGAAGTCAGATTTTCTCCCAGGAGGTCTATATAAAGAGGGAACAGATTCATTGTAAAAGGGGAGCCATTCATTGTATATTCCTTCTCTTGTTCTATTATTTTCTACATAGTTCTCTCTCTCTCTCCAAGGCTTTAAGCATTCAAGTTGGTGTCAAGATTCAAGGAAGTGCTATTCTTATTATTATGGAATATTACGAGTATTGTTGAGTTTTTACTATAAGGTACTTATGTGTAACTAAATTCTTAATAGGGTTTGATGTAGCTTAAATTTCTTTTCCAAATATTATGCCAATTAGATTTATTTCCTATTCAAGTTATGTTTCATTAATGACTTAATGCTTTTCTTAGGCAGAATTTTCCCCTAGATTGATATTATATTCAATTATCACTATCGGAAGAAGGATCTTTGATAAGAAAAGGTTAATAAAACACATTGAGAATTATAACTCTGGATACGGAAGCTATATGCGTTTGACTCATTGGGTGGTTTTTATAATTTATCAACCTTCAATTGTTTAAATTCATAAACAAACTACATAGCTTATTGATTTAATTTGATTTAATTCATAGTTAATTACGCTATTGGAAGATAGGTAATTAAATGGAATTAAAATAACTAGCAATACATTGGAAGAGCTTGCTAGTGAATTCAGAATTGTTTTCCCTACTTGAATAATTAAATTGATTAGTAAACTAATGAAATAAATTAGATAGAATTAAGTGAAATTAAAACCCCTAGTAGCTTTACTTCCTTGATTTCTTTTAATCAAATATTCTTGCTTGATCCCTTCTTATTCTCTTTTATTTGCTGAATTTAGTTTCTAAAAATAATTTCCCTTAGTTTCTAAAACCCCTAGTTGCCGTTTAAATAATAATAGGTTAACATAATTTTGGTAATTGGTATACAATCCCTATGGACACGATACTCTACTTATTCTATATTACTTGTAGCGATTTTCGTATACTTGCGAAAAATCATTGTCAAGTTTTTGGCGCCGTTGCCGGGGAATGGCATTACCAATATCAATACGAATTATCCTATTATTAATTTAGACATTGAATAAAATGCGCGATTTTTTATCCAAAAAATAAATTATTTGATATAAATCAAATATAATTAAAAATAATTAAATATTTGATCTAGATCTTGTACTAGGATCATATATAATTAAAAAAAATAACCAAACCAAAAAAATAAATAAATATTTTATAATCAAATATTTTCAAATATTTTTCTAATTCTATAATTTTTATATATCAAATATTTTGTTTCATTATTTTCTAAATCAAACATAAAATAATGTAACTTTATATAATCATTGTTATATTTTTAAATATTTTTTCTTTACTAATTTTTAAATTTTAAAAAATATAAAATATTATTTTTTTCAAAAAAATGATCTTTTTATTTCTTTTTGTACAAATTTAAGGTGTAAATTGTACAAAAAGTTAATTTTTGAGTAAATTAGCGAATTTTATATTGCTACCAAGTTCAATGGGTAAATTAAATTTTATTTCCATTTCAATTAATCAAGGTGAAAGTATAAACAAATTCAATAGTATTTACTTTCAATTTTTTTATTGAAAATTACCAAATTAATTCTACTTTTCATTTTGATAAGTATAAGTTCATTTTGATAAGTAAAAAATTAAAAATGGATGATTCTAAAATTATAAATTTATTAAATAATTTTATAAATTTTATATTCAATTTTAAATGCAATAAGTATTTTTTTAATTCATTGGAAGCTTTTATGAGCCGAAATAACATTGCGAGCTACACAACTAGGGGTAGCCGTACCCTTGACTCACCATATTAGTAA